ATAGTACCATCTAGTCTTCAGTTAAACTGCTTTTGCTGAGCTAATTATAACAGACAATTACAATGTTTTTGGTTCTGGTTTTTGGGCCCATGTCTGGCAGTGCTCAGGACTTACGCCTGGCTCTGAGCTCCGGGAGTCACTTTCAGTGGTGCTCAGGGGCGTATGTGGTGCTGAGATTCGAACTTGTGCTTGGCCTCTTCCAAGGCAAGTTCTTTAATCCCTCTACTACCTTTGCAGCCCTAGTTTTTATTTATTGTTAACTGCAAATGAGCAGAACCTGGCTGTGAAACTCATAGTGAAGATAATAAATTAGTATTATCTAGTACCACTTACCTGATTGGTTAATTGATCACATTCATTGGTTAGCTCATCAGATACTTACCTGCTACCAGCCAGCTGTTGTGCTCGGGACTAGGAATGTCATTTTGAGCAAGACGAATCTGTTCCCAGAATTCAGAATCAAGCAGCTAATTATAGTAGGAAATTGGGGTGACTTAGAGGGGGACAGTATAAAAATAATCGCCCTTGAGGAAGTGAGATGCAATCTGTTGTATAGGGATGTATAACAGGACATAAGGAAAGTACTTCAGGCTGAAAGAACAGACGTCCAGGGACCGGAGAGTACAGTGAGTAGGGCAGTTGACACGGGTTAATCCCTGGCATCCCATATGTCCCCAAGCACTTCCAGGAATGATTTCTAAGTGCAGAGCCAGGAGTAACCCCTGAGCCTCACTGGGCGTGGCCCACCTAAAGAAAAGAAATTGAAGAATGTATGTGAAGACCTGAACATAAATCTAAGATAAAAACTCCAGTGAAACAGGAGTTGTTATTATTTTTTTTTGCAAATGATTCCAAGGAGGTAGTTGGCTATAGAATGGATTTTAGACTTTATTTTATTTAGGGGAGTCTCCCCACCAGTGTTTAGGGGGCTAAGGAGCCACTCTCTGGGTTACTCATCTGTCTTCTGGCCTACTGGTTCAGTGTTCCCTCCTGTCTGGCAATGCAGTGTGGCTTATACCTAGGAGTACTGGAAGTCCCTGGGGCATTTCTCAGGGGCCTTGGGGGACCGGGGTTGAACTCAGGGCCTCCCCAGGGCCTTGTATACTCAATCATTTCCTGCGGTCCAGCTGTTCGAGCTATTCCCCCCAGATACCCATTGAGGTGTCTGAAAAGAGAAGTGAATCTTAAAGAAAAAAATGACTCATTAAACTTTTTTAATTAAAATGTTTAATTCAACATTAAAACTTTTTTGTAGTTAAATTTTAAAAATCATTTCTTTCATATTTCGCCCTTCCTTTTTTTGTTCTGGCAGCTGTCTTTGTTATAGTGGTCAAACACTGGGGTGTGGCTGCACACTTTAATTATGATGCTTTTATAGTTAGTTGTGTGCACTAGTAATCGTATCGTTTTTGTTGTGGCATCAGAGCATCACGATAGACGGTGCTTCCTTGGATTGCGTTCAGCATGTGGGCTGGTGCTTGGGCAACTCATGGCCTCATATTTTTCTTTCTTTTTTTTTTTTATGCAGGAGTACTGCTATTTATTCAGCCACTGATTAGGCTGAATGAATTGGGCACGAACTCCACCTTACTTTTTTTTAAAATTTTTTATAATTTTATTTATTGAATCACTGTGAGAGCAGTTACAAAGCTTTCGGGTTTACGTCTCCGTCATACAATGAAACACCCGGACCTTCACCGGTGCCCATTCTCCACCACCGAAAACCCCAATATACCCCCAGGAGCTAGAGAGGCCGTTCATGGGCGGTGACTTGGGGTCTTGTTGGGATGGGGAGGAAAGGGCCGACTCCACCCCCTCTTGTGAGGCCCCCACGTGTCTCATCACTGCAGGCCCCAACCTGACTGTCCATTGGCCTCTGAAGGATGGCAGCCACCGAACCGCCACGGGGGAGCAGGCGGAGGGACAGCACCCTTTTCCCCCTGGGGTGACCTGGCGACAGTAACCTACTGCGGGGTCCACATTTCTGCCAAAAGCCTCTGGGTTCCAAGATTTGTTTCTGAGTCTCTGGGATCATGGCCGTTAAGCAGCTGGATCAGGAGCCAGAGAGGCCATTGGTGGGCAGCGACTCGGGGTCTCGTTGAGGTGGGGAGGACAGGGCCGGCTCCACCCCCATCCAGTGAGATGGCCACATATTTTCGAGACAGGCATTCTACCACTGTGCCCTAACCCTGGGGCCTCTGTTTTCGTAGAAAAATTTTCTATCAGATGGGGAGGAAAATTGTCTTATTAAGAGCATGCTCAATGTGATTTTTGAAAAAAGTGCTATTTAGGGATCTAGCTCAAAGGGCTGGCGCACGTGTCTGTGTGTGCTGCTAATCTGAGTTTGAGGCCCCGTGACCCTCTTTTGAACACCACTGGTTCTAAGCCTTGTTATCCCAAAGTATTGCCAGTGTGACCTTGGTGGCCTCCAGTATAGCTCGGGTGACTCTCAGGATACTTGCCCCACCTGTCCAAGGATGGCAGGGAGTGGCCTCTGAGTCTGAGTGCTCCCAAAATGACACTAATGGCAACGAGAGCATATAAGGGCCTAGGAACAAATACAATAATGATTTATGTAATTTCTTTGGAAAAATGGTTAAATGATATACTAAAGAGACCTAAATAAATGGAGAAATGCATAGTAGTCACTTACTGTTGATGTGAGTTGTCTCCAGATCAACTCTAGTTAGAAAGCAACGTAAAAGTTTTTATCTACAAGTGATTCTCAAGTTTATACAGAAGAGCGTAGCCTGAAGAATAGCTCGCATTCAACACAGAATAACAACAACAAATGTGAACCTTGTAAAGATCAAGATTTACTGTCACGAAGTGCCAGTTAGGCAGTGTGGCCTGACAGTGTCTGATAATGCAGTGGAGCAGAATAGAGTCAAAAAACAGCTATCCCACTGAAACTTTGCACATGACAGAACTGGTGTTGTAACTCACCTAATAACTAACTAGGACCGTTGGTCATACAAAAAATTAAAAGGGTTGCATTCTGAATTTTATTTAGTTATTTGTTGGTTTTGGGCCATGCCGGTGGTGTTCAGTGCTTGCTCCTGGCGCTGTGCTCAGGGGTCACTCCTGGCAGGCTCTGGGAAGCCTGTGTGGTACCAGAGATCGAACCCTTATCAACCATTTGCAATATGATCACCTTACTTGCTGTAGTCTCTCTCCAGCACCAAGAAAACAAGTGTCTAGATAGATGTCTATGGTTTTGATCTGAATCAGAGGAATTCAGTTACTATTATATGAGATGGGGAAAAGCTATTGATAGGTCACTTTTGGGGGGGAAAATGATTTGGTTTGAACATGTTGAATTTGAGATGCTGAGTGGGGAATAGGTGATAAGTGTAAGGATTTGGGAGACAGATATGAGACCTTTTTTAAGCGTAGGGGGGTCAGTACATTGGCATTACTATTTGGGGGAGCACTTTCTGATACTTTATGACTCAGCACTTTCTTTCCAAAATATATACTTCCAAGAAAGGTTTTATCCTTTTGGTTTGTTCTTGTTTGGGGGCGACATCCGCTGATACTCAGGCATTACTCCTGCTTCTACACACAGGAATTACCCCTGGTGGTGTTTGGGAGACCATATGGGTATGTAGAGGATCAGACCTGGGTTGGCCATGTGCAAGGCACGCACCCTACTTACTGTACTGTCTCTCTGATCCCCAAGAAATGTTCTAAACATGGGCATAAGTATAAGCATGCTCATAGGAGTATTGTTTCAGTGGAGAAAAACTTGGAAAGAAAATTTCGTTTTTATTTACCAGAGAATGGGAAAATAAATAGTGTAAGTATAAAGTAAATTTGTTCATTGTACTGGATTAATGATTTAGAATGACATTCAGAGGGGTGATTCCCCAAAATTGTGTGTTGATTGTTGTCAGCAGATGAATACATACACACATTATGAATTCATATATACACATACATATATATATGTAGATAACATCTATGATTTTTAAAACATGTAAAACAAAACAGACTTATTTAGGAATATAGAGGTAATAAAATACAACTATCTGTGGAAAACAAACAAAAAATTACTTGTTAATTGGGGATAATGGGAGGTGGACATGATAATTTTCGAAAACAGGGGTCCCAGCTGTTAATGTAACAATTCTTTCTTACACCAGCAGTCCACAGTTGTCATCTGTATCTTTGAATTTGAACTTCTCAGTGGTGCCCAGGATTGCTTGTGCTTCCATTCCCAGCAATTCTTGGTCAGAGGGGCCATTGGTTCAGTGCGGGGTCCCACAGTGCTGGGGACCACCAGCTGTGTCACCTGGGACACATCCAACATCGCTGGGGGACGCGTGGGGGAGCCACGTAGCACCAGAGATTGAACCAGGGTCCCGTGATGTGCCCCAACCCCTGTTCTGTCTCCTCAGTCCTAGTCACCGCTCTTACTATTTTTTTATATTTATTTGTTGAAGACATTTTCTAATTAAAATAATTCTATTTCATACCTTTTTAATCCTTGACTCTAATAATGATGTGTATCCTTTATCAGCAGTTTGCGGCTGGCCTGCCAAGGAACCTACCTGGCAAAATGGTTCCATCTAGTGGGGGAAAAGTTGCAAGTTTCTTATAAGTCTTCTTTTTGGAAAAGAAGAATAGGAATTAACCAGATTCCTCTTTATTTTACTAAAATGTAAGGAGCAGATGAATGGGTTATCATTTTGAAATTTTGTCTTTACCATTCTGAAGATAGTCTGTAAGTTTCCTAGGACATTTCATGCAGACTGGTAGGACTCAGAGGGGTCCTTATTTCTAATTGTGAGTTGTTTTATTTTGTGTCTTGGGGCCATGCCTGGTGGTGCTCTGGGATTAGTCCCGGCTCTGTGTTCAGGGATCACTACTGGTGGTGGTACTCTGGGGGCCGTCGTATGGTGCCAAGGATTGAGCCAGGTTAGACCTCGTGTAAGGCAAGGCCTTGATCCCTTGACACTCTCTTGGGCTCTAACTTGCATTTTTGCTTTGTTTTTCAGAAGGAGTTGAGTCTTCCAAGAAGAGGCAGCTTGTAAGTAGATGATAATCAGCATTATAATTATTATGATGTTCTCTCTAGGAATCCTTCCTGTATGCTGTTAGTATGGCTTGCAGAACCCCATTCAAAAATAACAGTTTTTTTGTTGTTCTGGGGCCACACCCAGTGGGCTTGGGTTTCTCATGGCTCTGCATTCTGGAATCACTCCTGGCAGGTTTGGGGTACCATATGGGGTGCCAGAGATGGACTGGCTGGCCATGCCTTACCCAGTGTACTGTTGCTTTGGCCCTGCCATCAATTTTGTTTGTTTGATTTTAATTCTCTGTGCCCTGATATGATCAGGGAAGCCAAGAGGCTAAACCAGCTTTTTGGAAAGTGGAAGTAACATAGAGCTATAAGTCAAACCCTGGTAGACCAGTGTTTGAGTCTTGGCACTAGGGGTCTTGACAAGTTTTGTTTTCTAAAATAAGCTACTTGCTTGACATTATTTGTGGCGGCTGGAGGGGGCACACTTGGTAGTACTCAGGGCTTACTCCTGGCTTTGTGCCCAGGGAGCATTCTTGGTAGGGCTCAGAGGACCATATGGGATGCCAGGATTGGACGGTTTGGTTGAGTCTATGGCCAGACCACCCTGAATATGCCTGATCTCGCCTGAACGGGTTGGCGGTGTGCAAGACAAGGATCCTACCCACTGTACTATCTCTCCAGCGCCTCTGCTTGACTTTTCTCTGTACTTATTTTGTTTGTTCAAGTTAATCTATCCATCGAACTGTATTTGGGTCCTTTTATATGCAGGCATTATTCTAGATACTAGAATACAGTAGTGGTTAAAGGAAGTTTCTTCTTATTTGAGAGGTAGTATAGTAGGTAGGGTGCTTGCCTTGTACACGGCCAACCCAGGTTAGATCCCCAGCACCCTAAATGGTCCCCCAAGCATCACCAGGAGTGATTCCTGAGTGTCCAATTAGGAGTAACCCCTGGACACCATCAGGTGTGTCCCCCCCACCCCAAAAGAAAGGGACAAGTAATGTTATTTTTAATTTTTTTGGCATTTTGTTTATTTTTGAGGCTATACCCAGTAGTCCTCAGGGCTTACTCCTGGCTCTGTGCCCGAGGATTGCTCCTGGCAGGGCTTAATAGGAGATCATATAGGGTGTTGGGTGTCGAACCTTGGTAAACCACATGCAGGGCAAGTGCCCTGCTACACTACTGATCTGTCCCCTAATGTTATATTGTTACAGGATTAATAGGCCAAATAATTTTTGTGACCTCCAGTTTAGGTGGGTGGTAGACTTCATCCTGTACTCAGAAAATGGACTTTAAGACAGTATTCCAAACTAATTGCCGTCACCCCCTGGTAGTTTACTCAGTCTGTGGAATTCTCATTTCATTGGATCTTAGGTCAGTAGTGTGCTTCTTGATTAAAAAGAGTTCTGGTCTGCTGGAATGGTCTGGAAGTTATCCACTTGTCCAGGCAACAGCATCAGAGACTTGTACCCAAGAATTTGTCCTTTGAAATGTCAACAATTTGATATACCTGCCACAGTCCTTTCCTACGGGAATCTGAGACATGACATTCTTGAAATCCTAACTCAGTGTAAGAGAGAATGAGACTTAAAGTAACTGTGATCAGCTTAATACTGATAAGTTTAAATGAGAAAGATCTGATGAATGCCTCTGAGAGTCATGTTTCTTCCTGCCAGCAAAAGAAATTTGTTTTGGTTTTGTTTTTGTTTTTCTGCTAAATTGTTTCTGTGTCAGGCAAAGCAAAATGATAACAAAGCCAGTTCAAAAAAAGTCTTAGCCAAAGTGTCTAAGAGTAGTTCTTTTCGAGAAGACAGTTCTATCTAAATTATAAAACATGGATGAGTATAGTATTTTTAGAAGAAAAATTTGATACATAACTTTTTGTGGCATGATGTATAAATCAATAACATACCTAAACTATAGTAGGGATACGGGATAAAAAAATCAAGTAAATCTGGAGTAGGTCCTTGGCGTAGTTTCTGGCTTTGAGCTGTACCTGGCAGTTCTCAGCAGCTATTCCTGGCTTGTTAATTGCGGGACCCTGTGGTCCTCGCCAGGCCTCTGGTATGCAGGTCATGAGCTTCGAGCCCTTTGAGCTGTTTCCTGGTCCAACTTACATGTTCCTATGAAGTTCCAGTGACCCGAGAGAGCTCGGTAGCTCAGTGGGTTGGAGCATGTGCACTGTATGATGTGTGATCGCAGAATAAATGAGGGAGCCATGTGGTGTTGTCTCTCGCCGCCCGCCCCGTGCGTTAGGTGGCCACGAGCTGCTCCCCCACAGGTGAAGGAGGGAACAGGCCCGCCAGGCTGGTTGGTGATCTGTTGCTGGTTATTCCGATTTTGTCTCCCTCTGCCTCCTTCCAGTCTCACCCACTCCCTATTCCTCCTGTCCCCAACGTTAGTCTCTCTGCAGGCTCAGTCCTGTGCGCAGCCTTAGTCTAGTGCCAGCCTCCAAGCGTTGGGGGTAGCACGTCCAAGGGAAGCTCTTCTAAGCCAGGACAAAACTCTCCTGCAGCTGGGAGGTCTGCTCAAGGGCCACATATCTTCTAGGGGTGTTTCTTCTTTCCTTGGTCCAGCAACCTTTTAAACATTCATCTTAATTCTGCTTCTTAATATTAGTCATTTTGTATAGACACGGTAAGAGATACATCGAGCTTATAGGTGGCTCTCCTGGGAACATCTCAGTATAGATCCCAGACTACAGTGCTCAGGCCGGATTAGTCTTTCCTAACCCTAGCAGCGTCCTAACCCAGTTGTTACCCTTCGGATTATGACAGAATTTGTCCATGAGCTGCTCTTGACTTCCAGTTACGTATTACGGCGCTTGGCTTGGCCCATTTCAGTCCCACTGGATGGGTAGCTCACAGCTTGTCCATCCAGTCCCTTCGTTGGGACCATACTTTTGGGGTGCTCGGAATTAAGTCGAGAAAATATGAGAGTTTCCCAGGGGCAAATACTATTCGGAGTCAATTAACTAAAAAGTTACAAAAGCATTAACTGACTTCCCACGTCTAAACAAAAAGGACATTGCTCTGAAGTAAACTATGCAGTAGGGCATAAGGGAAGGAGAAAAGCAATATTTCACTTACAAATACAAAACCCAGTGTCCTTAGAAGGATCTGGACCTTACAAGTCAACAGAGGCTGATTTGGGGATAAAGGTGACTGACCGGTTGGGGAAGCAGAGCACAGAGAAGAGGTTAAAGATAAACACACAGAAACGGGAGTGCCTCGGAAGCACTGTGATGGGTGTAACCCAATAAATCTAAGCGCCCCGTGGCCGGGGAGAACCGAAAAACCAATGTTATTCTATAGTATGTAGAAAGTCCAGGTTCAATCGTTAGCAATGATAATTATAGCCTCTCAAATGAAGAACTTTAGTTTATCTTCCTTTGCCTTTTTTCTTTATTTTGGCTCATACCCATTGTGTGTAGGGCGTACTCCTGGTTCTTGGCTCTGCAGAGACCCTGGTGGTTCTTGGAGCATATGCAGTGCTAGAGATCGAAACTGGATTGGCCAGTTGCAAGGCAAGTGGCTTAACCTTTGTCCCTGCACTATTGCTCCAGCCCTAGTTCATTTGCTTCCTTAAATCATCAAGAACGTAGTAAACCCACATATAGCATAGAAAAATATCCTCGTAAGACACATTTTTGTTACCTCGGCATATTGCATGGAAGACACTATGACATTTAATAATGGTCATCTCTTCAATAAAATAAAAATCCCAAACCAAACAGTAAGCCAACAAAGCTGGCTTATCAAATTTCAGTGAGTTTTGCTGAGGTGTTCCCCCCGCCTGGGGGGGGGGGGGGTGTACATCCAGCAGTGCTCGGGGTTCTCCTGGCTCTCCACTCAGGAATCATTCCTGGGGGCTCCTGGAACCATACGGGATGCCAGGGATTCAAATCCAGGTCGGCTGTGTGCAAGGCAAGTGCCCTACCTGCTGTGTTATCTTTCTGGCCCCAGTTTTGCTGAGATTTTAACCAGGTCTGGAGAGGATAGTACAAGGGTTAATGGACTTGCCTTGCACGCACCAACCCTAGTTTTGTCCCTGGCATTGCATATGGTCTCCTTAGCATAGCCAGTGCTCTAAAACAAACAAAAACAAACAAACAAAAAGATTATAACCGCTTCATAGTTTAAAAAGTTTTAGCCAGTTCATGGCAATGGAAAACAAAATTAATTTTCTAATTTTTGTTCTTTTTTTTGTTTTTGGGTCACACCCAGTGATACTCGGGGTTACTCCTGGATCTGCAATCAGGAATTGTTCCTGGCAGTGCTCAGGGGGCCATAAGGGATAAGAGGGGTTGAACCAACAAGGTCTGCTGCGTGCAAGACCAGCACCATACCGCTGTGCTATTGCTCTAGCCCCGGCTAATTTCGGTTTTTTATCTCCTTTACTTGAAACATACTTACAGTTGGAGAGGAAGGTTTTCAAAGCAAGAAATAATTTAGTAGTAATACTAAGATAATGTTAACATGCATACACTTAGCATTAATATCTTTAAGTTAGTCAATAAATAAGAGTTTAAAGGTATTTGAGACCACCCAGAGGATCCCAGTCAATCACAAAATGAAGACAGTTAATAAAATGTTGAGACACTCGGTTTTAGAATGGCTTGTTTAACAGTTTGGACAAACTGGCAGGCTCCCGAATGTAGCCTGCCCCCACGGCAGAGTCTGGCAAACTCCCCGTGGCTACCCAATATGCCAAATACCAGTAACAATGACGGGTCTCGTTCTCCTAGAGAGCCTTGAATATAATCTCAGGGCTAGGATGAAGGAGACGTTACTGGGGCCTGCTCAGGCAATCGACGATTAACAGGATGATTTGTGATTGTTTGTGTTTAACAGTGTTATGGTCTGAATTCTGTGTCTGCTAAAGCAGTTTTGAAGGCCTACTCCTCAGTGTGATGCTATGTGGAATTAGGGGTCTTTGGTAACATAATTAAATTTCCTTGGCATTTATGTCCCTAAAGGAAGAGCACGAGAGACCAGACCACCCTT